AGTTATTTGTGAGTACATTGTTTACTGGAATTAACTACAAAATAATGTTAAATAATTGTTTGTTAACCATTCCCAGAACTATACATTTAGGACATGATTGACTGATAGCAAGCTATACGTTTAATTATTACTGTGAACAAAAAAGTGTTTTTTAGTCCAACATACATGAAATGTCATCAAATACACATTTAACAAATACTAATGTTATTTTGGAGAGTTTGCGGTATTCTGTCAGTGCTGGGGAACACTCAAAAGTTCACGCACAGTTGAATCCATCTTTTCATTTTCCCTTTCATAAATTTAAGTCTGCTGCAAAAAAAAAAACACAAGTGAGCATGATAGGTACATAAAAAGAAAATGACAATAACATAATAACAATCCTTACTTGCAAATAAAACAATAAACATAAATTAAGCCTACAAAAAATTAATTTGCAGTAGTACTAGTAATACTCTGGACTAGCATTGTTTTAGTTACCATATGAGAGTTTCCTGTGTTAAAAACATGGTTTACTATACTATACTTCTTTATAAAACATAACTTGTACTTTATAATAAGAAAAATCTGAATATTATCGGTACCTGGAACAGTAACACATAAGTACTGTACTATGTTACTGCACTGTAATGCATATGCCTATTTTAAGACACTACTTAGACAGGCTTTTCCTGTTCCATCTTAATTTCAAAGGTCAAAAATATTTTGCATTTTTTTTTCCAATCATATAGTGGTGTAAACTAGTCTTTTAAGAACATTTTGCTGGAAAAACATTTTAGATACGAAGCCCTGTTATAGAGTTAAGATATTTTAAATAAAATGATATCAGAAAATCAGCCCAAAAGCTTATCTTATTCCTGTTGGTTACGCACCGCTGTTTCGAAATATTTGTCATCACTTCAAAATGTATACTGACAATTCGTGGAAAATGGCCTCTCCTCCTATGCCTAGACCTACTACTACTAGAGCTAACTAGGCTAGGCCTACTACCTAGGCCTAGAAGAGTACTATTTATAATATTATTTATACCCACGGATCACCTTATCCAGGCATTACTGCTAGGCCCCTACTATAATACTTAGCACACAGGCATTCGTGCAAAGCATAAACCTGCTGAAAGTCTCATCATTGGTTAGAATAACTCTAAACGCTTTGCCTAGCATTTCAAATAGTTCAAATGTTCCCAAATTCTTTTCAAAACACACCCTGCAAACTTCTTTTCAAGAAATTCATCGACATTCTTCAGCAATGTACCAAATGATCATCACTCTGCAGCCCTCAAAGTCGATCAGTACTTTAAGGAGGGTCGCAGTTCAAAACGGCAATAAACTTTTATGACATTATTATTATTATTATTACTGTATTGTTTCATTATTATTATTTGTAATTAATGTCATTATACCATCATTTTGTCTCAATTTAAATTTTTTAATTATTTGAATGTCTACAGCTTTTATATTGTGTTTTGACCAATACTATTATTATGTAAAAAATTAAAATCCAATTCGGCTTTGTTCAAACGAAGAGTAATCTTTTCAGATTTTCTTAATAAAGAAACTGGTAATCTTCTTGAACTGAAATCCTTGATAATAGAACCAAATGGACGTAAGTTGACAAAAAATACAACGCATTTTAAAAATACCACAAAAGATTTAATAGAAGACATGTTTCGGGTTACCCTCAACCCATCATCAGTTAACAAAAAACACAACAGAAATGAACCAAATACTTTCCATGTAGACTATATGTATATAGGTAATTATTATGCTGAATGTTAAATAGATAGATTGATTTGTTTGGCAATAAGTTTGACCAACTATAGTAACTCTGAAATCTGGACTAAATGTAGCTAATTATTATTCTGAATATATAATTGAATACCGTGATTTGTTTAACCAAAGGTTAGTAAAGCAATAGTAAGTTTGTAATATGGACCAAGTGTAGCTAATTATAATATGTAGAATATATAATCAGGTACATTGATTATTTTGACAAAAGGTTGTGAAGCTATAGTTAAATGCAAGGTAACAAGTGCTTGCATAGTAACTATTGCTTACGTTTATATTTAAATAAGCTTTAAGTTAACATGTTTAATTTGCAAATTAAGATCAGGATTGTTTCATTTTATGTTTATTTATTTATTTATTTATTTATTTATTTATTTAGGCACACACTACATGTGCCAAGGATTGTCAATAGCGAATATATCACTGTCGTACTTGTAGGTGACAATCCCCTACACAAGACAAACATACACACACGATGCTTTACATAAACTAAATCTCAATATGAGATTTAGGGAGTGGAGTTGTTTTGGTCGTGAGAAAAAAATCCTGCAACTGGCAGGAATTGAACCCAGGACCCTGGGATTGGAAGGCAAGCATCTTAACCACCAAGCTATTAACGCTTAACGATATAAATAGGCCTACACATGAACTCCACTTTGGGATTCTTTGATTTTCAATTTGATTTCATTGTTATCAATATCCAGTATAGAGAAACATTTCTTATCAGACAAGCTTTTACATTTTCTGTTTGCGTTAAGGTGTTTAAGAACGCAGTGCTGAGTTCACCCGGAGACGATAATGCCTAAGCCCGATAAATGTACGATGCCAGCCAGTAAGGTACCGGTCACAACTACAGTTAGTAAGTCTACGCTTAACGATATAAATAGGCCTAAACATGAAGTACCCAATGCTACCTGCCTGGGTAGCGTGAACAATGAGAATTACGTAACATCCAGACAAAAGGATCTTATCTTACCAAGCGTGAAACCGATCTTTGTTAAAGACGACGATGTACGTAAAGAAAACAATGGCTTTCTGACTGAGGAAAAGATTTACTTCGCCCTGTGTGATCTCATTAGTGGTGAGAGCTTAATCGGAATACAGAAAGTAAAGAACCTGTGGAGAATCTATCTAGATAGCCATGAGGACAGAGTAAAAATTATTTTTGCTGGGATTAACATAAATTCAAGAAACGTAACAGTGTATGACACGAATCCATATTTGCCTTCGCACAATGGTATACGTGTTCTTATAAAATACGTTCCAATCTCAATACACAATGATGAAATTAAACTTTGCCTTACACAACTAGGCTGCAAACTAATCGGGGATATCCAATATGTCAAGTTTAGAATTAATGGAAAGCTATCTAGATTTGTTAATGGCGACAGAGCTGCCATAGTTGAACCGTTCAGAGGTGGCCTACCGCGATTCACAAAAATAAATGGATTCAGCGCCAGACTGTTCCATAGAGATCAACTAGACATGCATAACAAATGCTTCTCTTGCAACGAAGCAGGCCATAGAGCAAATAAATGCCCTAAAAAGGTGCAATTTACATGCCATAAATGCGGAAACAAGGGGCACACTGCGAGATTTTGTAAAGAACTCTCACAAAAAATCAATGAAGATCTTGCAAATCCAGCAAAAGACAAGCTCAATGACCACACCGCGGCTTCAAATCCGATAAAACCCACATTGCAAGACATGTTTACATCCGAGCAAAGCAGATCGGATGATCTTTTTCGGCAGTCGGCGGGAGAAAAATTCATCCAAGACACGTGGTACAAAGTAGTTGCAAAAGGAAGACATGAAAAAGATGCCTCGACAGAGCGTCCGAGAGATCAAAGCGAAATAAGCGAAACAAATGACAGTAATTCCAGCTTTGATGGTATCACAGATAGTGAAGAACGAGATACGCACATTGAGGACGCAGACGCTCCAAGTGTTGGTCTTGCCTCAAATAATGTCCAAAGTAAAATAACTTCGTTCACTGGCTCGCATAGTGCCTCACGGCCGACAGTGTTCAGTGAAGAAGGTATCACGGCATCTAAGCGAGACTATGTAACTATCTCCGAGCCCCAAAAGACAAGAAACTTCAAAACCCTCGCCAAGTGCTGTAACAAAACCAAAGAAGTAGAGAAAGCGGGTGAGAAGTATATCTACATGAGTAATTAGTATCCTTCTTGTGTAATGTTTCTTAATCCCGTAGTTACAGTAACGCAATTTGTTTTTTTATTAGTTTCATTTTCGTCAAAGTTCATTACAGAGGTATGGAAAAACACAATAACGTAAACTTACACTGTCTGTCTCTAAATGTTAGGGGTTTACGAGTTAAACAAAAACAAAGGGCGATTTTTAAATGGGCAAAAGATAACTATGTAGACATTTTCCTTGTTCAAGAATCGCATTTTACGGATGATGTAACTAATAAATCTGACTTCCTTTGGGAAGGAGAATCGTTTCATAGCTATGGCACGTCTTTTAGCAGAGGCGTGTCTATTTGCATTAGGCAAGGCCTTGATTGTGAGTCGGTTAAAAAGGAAGTTGATGAACACGGCCGTTTTATTATATTACATATAAAAGTTAGTGGTGTTTCATACTTATTAGTGAATGTGTACGCCCCCAACGATTATAAGTCACGAAGTACCTTTTTTAGAATACACATCTAGATGTGTATAAGAGACAGATATAGGGGCATATTTGTTGTAGCGGTGGGTGGAGATATGAATTGTATACAAGATGAAACATTGGACCAAAAAGGGAGCAAAAAGAAACGGGATAATTCTGTATACACAGTCAAAAAGTTTATGAATATATTTAAATTAATTGATAGTTGGAGGGTCATGAACAAAGACAAAATCCAATTCACATGGCGTATAAAGTCAGCGAACTTATTCAAGAGGCTGGATTACTGGTTTGCCTCAAAATCACTACATGACGCAGGATACATTGCCTCATGTGATATTAGACCCGCTATTTTTACTGACCACCAGGCAGTTTCCATTAAAATAAGTGAAAGTGAGGATTCACGTGGTCCTGGTCCTGTCTCTTATACACATCTAGATGTGTATAAGAGACAGGCGTTCATGTTTTATACTGTATATACAACATATCAACAAATGTTTTTACTTCAGAGTCGGACTTTAAAGAAATAATTATAACAAGAAGAAAATAAAAACTGACCAATTAGATTAAAAAAGAAATTCAACTTACTCTCTTGACCTTAAATGGGGTTCTAACAACTCCATTGTATGTCCATACTTGTACGGTTTTACGGTTTTGGCAGCATCTCCACTTTTCTTTTCTTTAGTCTTTCTTTTATTGTTCATATCAGCATCCCTCAAATTTGTCCACTTTTCTGCATAACATCACCTGTAATATAATTTTATTTAAAGTTAGAAAGAGAGAAAATAACAGCCACCACCATCTTGGCAAGAAAATTCTAGGCCTTTTACAGAGGCTAAGCCAGGCCAGTATTAATTATTACCCGGGACAAAAGAATCACGTTCACTCCATCTGTCAGGGGTACAGCATTCATTGCCTCCTATTGCTCATGGTTATTAATATATCATTATTAAGCTAGGCCTATATGTGAAAACGTATTAAATATCGTTGTTTTACTAGTATAACTTAAGCCTTTAATCTAGGCTTAGCCAAGTATAACAAACTCAAAACTAGCCTAACCAGGCTACCTCCGCCCTATCTTTCTTTTTCCATTTTCTTTTTATTTAGGCCTAGGCCTATTTATTTATTTTTTTTTTGGCCTAAACGACTAGGCCTAGTAGTAGTGGGGCCCTAAGTTGCCTATCATCGATTACCTACCTGCTTGCTTTTGGCCGTAACTACCTTGTATGTTTTTATGCCTATTATTTTAGTGTAGAGCTAGGGCCAAGTCTGCCTAGGCCTATCCTAGGTTATTGCTGTAATGGCCTGACCCTACGACGCCTAGAATATAAGGCCTAGGTCTAGCCTAGGCTGGGCCTAGCACAACTATTATCAGGGATCAGTTTTCTGGTATAAAATGGCATTTTTCTCAACCAACAAAATAAACGCCTCATCATCGACGGAGATCGCGGTAGATTTTTGATGGAAACAATTCCACGCAGCTCTGAATATAGTGGCTCGCAAACAAGCCTTCTCATTGGTTGAACATTTTCGTTCGTGAATCGATTGCAAAAACGATACTTTTATCGTACATGATAAATCACCCAATACACCAGCTGTCTCGCTCTACAGAGCCAAAACTCCTGAAGTTTTGGCTCTGTAAAGGGTGACAGTGGCGTCCCATAGAACATGTTAACACTGTCTCTACTCTTTAGCCCTTCAACTCTAGAACATAAATGATTTAGGCAGGCTAGATGACCTTCGGCACATCGGGTCATTGTGAAGCGATGAACGTCGTCGACGATGACAGCGCGACGATGCGGTGGATAGTCTAGGGCCATCCAGGGCTAGCCTAGGCCTATACATTTTTGTACTTATGAAAGTATAATCTAATACCAGACAGACTCGGCATGGATATTCCCAGGTACTGTATATAGGCCTAGTTCTTGTTGAGAAGGATGGCCTAGGACCCCTAGGTTAGGCCTAAGGCTTCTACTACTACTACTACTACTAGCCTAGGCCTATAGGCCCTGGCCAAGGCCCTGCTACAGGCTAGGCATACTACTACCTAGGCCTAGGTAGGGCCAAGCCCAACCATCCATGGTGGGGTTGTAGACTTAGGCCTAGAGCTAGAGCTAGGCCCTAGGCCTTAGTACTAGGCCTTAGGCCTAGGCCTAGTAGTAGATATGCATCTACCCTCCATCTATGAAAAGTCCCTCTCTGAGCCCCCTCTAAGTCATATGCCTAATTCAAATTCCTGGCTCTGCCACTGCTTCTAGGCCTAGTGGTGGTAGTAGTTATTTAATGAAATTAGTTAATGAAATTAATTATTAAAGTAATCTAGATGCTTTTAGTGTTTATTTTACTAAATAAAAAATTGTCGCTGACAAAAAATGTTATTTTTGACTAATAAACTTGTAGGACTATCATTTCATTGTTCTGTAATATCAATTTTAAATACAAATAGGCCTTCAGAAACTTTAAAAGATTATTATTATTATTACTATTATTATTGTATTATTATTATTATTATTCTTCTTCTCATTGCATAATCCCCAAAGGGGCAAGCAACAACTGTACAGACTCTCAAATTCAGAAAATAAATAAATATAAATAGCATAAGAAAAATTATTTCAGTTTTAGTTTTATTTTATTTTTTGCTTTACGGGCGAAAACTATCCCATATATCCCTGTTTGCTGAAGCTCTGATCATGTCATTAATGGTCGTATTATACTGCTCTATTTTAGATTTTAGTTTTGATACACATAACACAACTTCTTCGAGACTGATTTCTGGCTCTAATATTGTTTCTGGAAGGTCATTTAAGTCAACATATGTTTCGGTTGGTAATGATGCGAATTTATCTTCGAGAAAGGTAGCCCATGATTCTAACTGTTGCTGTGTGCTAGTTATGGGATTTCCTTGGAGATCCTTTGAGGGCTGGCAGAATGTGTTGCTCTTTCCCGTTGATGAAATTTTCTTTATCAACCGATATACTTCTTTATAATTTCCAACTGACGCTGAAGTTTCCATGTCACTGATTATGTCGTTGATATAATTTCTATAGTCATTTCTTGTTGATCTACTGATCTGTTTGTGCACTGTCTCTTATACACATCTAGATGTGTATAAGAGACAGTGTGGGACCCATATGATTTAGCCCACACCCTTCAACTCTAGAACATAAATGATTTAGGCAGGCTAGATGACCTTCGGCACATCGGGTCATTGTGAAGCGATGAACGTCGTCGACGATGACAGCGCGACGATGCGGTGGATAGTCTAGGGCCATCCAGGGCTAGCCTAGGCCTATACAATTTTGTACTTATGAAAGTATAATCTAATACCAGACAGACTCGGCATGGATATTCCCAGGTACTGTATATAGGCCTAGTTCTTGTTGAGAAGGATGGCCTAGGACCCCTAGGCTAGGCCTAGGGCTTCTACTACTACTACTACTACTACTACTACTACTACTACTACTACTAGCCTAGGCCTATAGGCCCTGGCCAAGGCCCTGCTACAGGCTAGGCATACTACTACCTAGGCCTAGGTAGGGCCAAGCCCAACCATCCATGGTGGGGCTGTAGACTTAGGCCTAGAGCTAGAGCTAGGCCCTAGGCCTTAGTACTAGGCCTTAGGCCTAGGCCTAGTAGTAGATATGCATCTACCCTCCATCTATGAAAAGTCCCTCTCTGAGCCCCCTCTAAGTCCTAGGCCTAATTCAAATTCCTGGCTCTGCCACTGCTTCTAGGCCTAGTGGTGGTAGTAGTAGGGGCTACAACAAGTGACCTAGGTCTAGACTAGGCCTAACTACTAGCCCTTCCCATAATACACAGGGTGATTAAGAATGTCTTTGTTGGCTCTAGACCTTAGTCTATAGTATAATACTTTACCTAACGCCCACTACTACTACTCCAACAAGGTGTTTTAATTTGTTTTGTCCTGAATCATGTTCTTTGTGCGAAATGACCTGATATATATTGAGTTGAAACAACCAATTTTAAATCTTTATACTTTTTTTAAATATTTGATCTGAATAGGTCTTATGCCCATTACCTGGCTCATAATATTTTTATGAAAGTTTTAATTTTAAAATTCATATCTGACATATATTTTTATATTATAGTTTCATTAACCTTATTGAAAAACTGAACATTTTTATTTGATTATAAATATAACTAAGCAGTGGCGGATCCAGGGGGTTCAAGTGGTTCGGACGAACCCAGCTCGCTCTGTGAAGAAACGTAACAAATTACTACTGGGTCCTGGCTTACAAAATGCATGCCAACCTTACCTACCAAGGCATAGGTTGGCAGATCGGAAAATCTAGGCTTATCCCACCTACTGTAGCATTCAAAAAAAATACAATCAAAAACACTTAAAAAATTAGGCCTAATAACAATATATTGACTATACCGTACTCGTGCGAATAAGCGCCCCGTTTGAATAAGCACCCCTCTCAAATAAGTGCCTTCATATAGTGAAATTGTCATAAGTGCCCGTTTGAATAAGCCTCCTAATTTGAATAAGCGCCCCATATATGTGATTTTTTTCTTAGAAAGCCAATAATACAATCAATCCTGTAACTGGTTGGAATGATTTGAGCTGTGGAGTGGATTCACATTTACTTCTTATGACAATTTCAAAATGACCTCATTTTCTCGTCGACAGAGAGAGTAGGTGGTGGTAGGCCACCACCACCTACCATCATCAATTTTTATCTACTGCTTGCACTCTTGTCATGAGCCAACTCGCTGGTGGACGATTTTCAAACCTTATATAATCCTTTTCATTCAAAAAGCATCCTTTGAATTTTCCAAGTTCAATAAAAACCCCTCAATTTTCATATATTTCCATAGCGCCCCGTCAATTTACATTCCATTTTCATAAGCGCCCCGTTTGTGTAAGCACCCCTTAAAAATGCAAAATATTTTAAGCACCCAGACGCTTATTCGCGCAAGTACGGTACCTTTGATTTTTTTTCTATGGTACAGGCCTAAGAATGAGATAAAAATCATGGACCTTTTGAGAAGTGGTAAAGCCTTGAATTTTGAAGAATTTAAAGGTCATTAAAAAGACACTTTAGAAGTCGGAAAAGCTAATTTCTTGCAATCTAGGATTCAAAATTTTTCCAGGGGAGGACTCGGCTTTTTTGTAAACATTTTGAACCCACCTTTTTCTAATCCTGGATCCGCCCCTGCTAAGGGTATGAAATAGTTGATTAAATAAGTTGCTTACCAGTAATAAATAATTAATGAAATTAATTATTAAAGTAATCTAGATGTTTTTAGTGTTTATTTTACTAAATAAAAAATTGTCGCTGACAAAAAATGTTATTTTTGACTAATAAACTTGTAGGACTATTATTTCATTGTTCTGTAATATCAATTTTAAATACAAATAGGCCTTCAGAAACTTTAAAAGATTATTATTATTATTACTATTATTATTGTATTATTATTATTATTATTTTTATTATTATTATTATTTTACTTTTCTGTAAAAATATATCAATTTTAAACACAAATAGGCCTTCAGAAACTTTAAAAGATTATTATTGTATGATTATTATTATTATTGTTGTTATTGTTACTTTTTTTATTAATAAAAAGAATTTTACATTATTATTATTGGATATTAAAATTAAAATTTTTAATGTAGGCCTATTATTTATAACTAAGTAATATATTTTTGCAAATTATGTTTAATTATTTTATATTCAGGGATGTAGTTAGGGTGAACGGGGCCACCCACCCTTATAGTTTTCCACCCACCCTTATTAACCCACTTTCCATCCTTAAAATCCACTCTTATTATTTAGAGTTTACCAGTGCTATCACGCTCCCATCCTTAAAATGTCTACCACCCACCCTTAGTTTTCTACAGACAACCCTGTATATTGTATACATTATATTGCATCCCCCTTTCACAATAACATCATAATCATTTTTAGTGTGGTATAATTGCTCAGAGAGTCGCCAGACAGCACTTGCTAGGTGTAGTATTTAGTGGGCAGGCTGAGAGAGTATTCATTGAGGAATATTTGTAGTTCTAAATATACAGTTATTTCTTGTTTGTTTCTCCCCATAGAAATGTTGTCACATTTAAAGCCGTTTCATGAATGCTGTTTTGTAATGCTGTAAAGAATACAGGTGTCCTTAAGCTGGTAAAAGACTTCTGATTTGGAGTATCCATTGGTTTCTTCTTGTTTGAGAATGCCAGACGCTAAGCATACAGTAATATGTGGCAATTTTGGAATGAACTTTGACTGTAATTGAAAGTGGTCAATTAGAATGTTGCTGTTGTACTGAAGCT